ACGAACTATATGGGTAGCATTATACACTGCAAATGAACGTTTTCAGCCTAGGGAGTTTCCTTTATAAATGCATTTATTAATGATACTTGCAATTACCTATTTCATTACACTTTAATGATAAATCTGTCAGCCACGTCTCGTAAACCGTTAATGCCCAGCTCTTGCTACGCTCAGGCTCACGCTGTTACTTGAAGTTTCTCAGAAACGCTTAGTAATAACGGACGCAAAACCAAAACACCGATTGGCCACTCGAGAATTCTTTATTGTAACACCAACATATAAAAAATGTTTCCAACAAGGTCTGTGAACAAATATTACAATAATAAATCAGAATATTACTTCTGACGGTTTACTGCTGACTTCTTTCCGAACAGCGACCGATGAGACGATGACTGTCGTATTGATGCCTCCGCGAAAATTGGGGAAGTTGGTTTTGAGTAAACAACCGTGAATTGATTGTTCAATCTTCAACTGCACTAACATCATCTTAGAAGTTCTACTTTTCTAAAACAGCTTTCAATCCCTTGTAAAATTTGTACTTACCTCAATGTTGGTTGGTTATCGCATGCCTACAACCACGGGATGAAAACGAAGCGAAGTCGATTTTCTCGCGAAACCTGGAGGACAACTGTACAATTCGATAACTATACGGCCTGGTTTAGACAACGAGTGTATTTGTATATATATATATATCAAATATTTAACCTTTGAAACATTATTAAGTTGTAGACAATCTACGTTTTGACATTATATCATACTTGATCGTTCCTGTGAAAATGGCATGCATTTTCATGTGAATTTATATGTTCATATAAATTATATACGTTATTATTATATAGATCCAGCCATATGTTTGTTGGACACAAAGTCTAAGAGAAATTATGAGAACAATTAATCACAATAATACTTCTGGTAGTATTTCTCAGTCTTCTAACTAACAGCGAACGATGGAATGATGACTGTAGTATCGATGACTTCCGCCAAAATATGGGGTCGGTTTTGCGTAAACAACCACGAATTGATCATTCATTTTTCAGCTTTATTAACATGCGGATTAAAAATTGTGTATTGTGATGTTTCATGGAAGATCTTCCTGACGATATTTTCAAAGGTTACTAAATATTTCATGATGGTGTTCACGTCAGGGCTTTCTATAGCACCCTGATTTTCCAACTCAGCCCAACCAATTAATAGTCACTTTTTTAGCAGTTCGGCTTTCAACACAGGAATGTGCGCGAAATTGACCTTTGAACTTCCATTACCCAAAGACGCTGATTGAGGATGTTGTCGCGGTAATAATGTCCCCCATTCTAAATTTAGAGCGAAAAGTGCCCCTGACGAGATCTCTTTCTTTCTGTGAGCAGTACCACTTCAGGTTTACAATGCCTTACCAGATTTAAGATATAAGCCAGCAGCAATAGGAGCGAGATACTGACGAAAGAATAAAAAAGAACAGAACGTTGCAAATTATTCATAATTTATCGGGTATCCTTTCTATATCCAAAAATATTGAATCATGAATCCCTTATGATTTTTCATAAGTTCTTTACGCTCCGCTAACCTTCAGGTAGCAGTGCCATATTATTCACTGTCGATGAATAATAAAGCTGAGGATTGCATCTAGCTCTCTGTTGACAGTTGGATTGAATGTATACCTAACCGTATAAAAGAAACTTTTTGGGGTTTAACTTACTTTATTTCGGTCCACTTCCAATCACACTTACAGTATGATGAAAAATAGTTGCCATCCAGTCGATGTAATACATCGTTCCTGAACTGTTTTTATTTAACATTTTTGTCACGATAATCTAATAGTTCGACTTACAGTTAGTAAACATATATTGCCACATTTTTCTGCTATTTTCTCGCCTATTTTCATCGCAGTACTTGTTGGCCTGTTATTAAGTTTTAAAATAGTCGGAAACAAATTACGTGTTGCAATTGATATGTTCGTTCGCTTGAAAATAGCCACATATACGAAGACCTTTAAGTGCACAGTATAAGTCTACCTGTCACTGAATTATAAACTGTAAGGTTGACTCACATGATACAAGGCTGTTTCCAGCATGGGTGCCAAATTTAGAACGGTATGAAACAGAGGGATGTAGTCAGTGATTGTTATTTCAGAGTCGTGGTTGCAGTCACTTAAAAGAAGGCCGCTGACAGGACTTTCTGGATGTTTCGCAGCATGCAAAATCATTTTCAGGAAAGGAAGTTTATCAATATGCACCGTTTCCGTTGTTTTCATGTTAAGCTAAAAATAAAATTTTGACAGGCTTATAGAGATTAAATACTGTAAACAACAAATTGACTAGTAATAATAATAATAATAGAGTTGCTTGATCATCTTTGACTTGCTGGCCTCCACAAAAAACTGTGTTAGTAGCTATTTTGCAGCAATGTTTGGATTGGAAACAGGACTGCTGAATTCCTGAGCCATACTTGACCACCACTGTCCTAATGATGGCCGTTATTTCCATTACGAACTTTTCCGACTGGGGACCTACATAAGCTGGCCACGACTTTTCTCCATTTTTTACACTAGTCTTAGCACCTTTACCTTGTTTTGACATTACCGAATTGGATCTTGTGGTCTCAGGACGAGGTAAAGCTCATAAGGACTCGTTTAGCATTTGACAACCTGCGTCGATTTTGGAAACTATGAAATTTCCAAAAACCCGTGGAATAATCGTGCCTCTTTACTTTTAAGCTGTGAGACATGACAGTCAAAAATGGCCTACAGGTCTTTGACAATAAATGTCTTCACTAGTTTTAGAAATTTTGCAATAAAAGTTGAGATTGAGCGTAGTTTCACGCGAAGTTAGGAATGAATCGGCTGGGACATACACCACGCATGTCGGCCGACCGCCCTAGACCAGCTACCCTAGATGAAACAGAATAAGGTGGAATTCATTGACTTCTGGTTAAAGCCATTAAAGAAATTTACGTTATGAGACTAGGGGTTCCCGGAATTCATGATTCAGTGGTTTCAGACCTTATGATAGACACAATTATTCCTCATCATCAAATTCTGAACAACCTGAATCTTCATTTAGTTACTTATTTTTACTACTTGTTTATCGTTCTACTTTTGTCTACTCATATGTTGATGAATTATTGAAATGTGGCATTCTTAACAGATGGTTTAATGTGCGAATTTATAGGTTTATCAGTAGTATGTGGGAATATGCAACCATGTAGTACTGAATCGATCTTAATTCTTCAATTTCATTTTTTTTAAACAATAATGTTGTCACTGACATATGTTCTTTAACATTTATGGATACAGATATCTATAAAACACAACATAATCGAGCAAAGAATATTCTTTTCGATAAATTCCTCTTCTGGCTCTACAATTATATACATGTTTATATACACAGAATATTCAAGGTTGGTAGTTAATAACAATATTAGTGTTTTTTAAATAATATCGATTTGTAAAGCAAGATCAATGCAATTACAGTTCACTAAAAATACTTAAATTATATTAGTAATAATTGGCCATCTAGGTTTGAATGATTCTCAATTTTCGTGAAAATTTCCTAATTTTAGGTGATATTCTACTCGCTATTATATCTTTATTACTATTATAATTTAAGTATTTTTGGTGAACTGTAATTGCATTGATCTTGCTTTACAAATCGATATTATTTAAAAAACACTAATATTGTTATTAATTACCAACCTTGAATATTGTGTGTATATAAACATGTATATAATTGTAGAGCCAGAAGAGGAATTTATCAAAAAGAATATTCTTTGCTCGATTATGTTGTGTTTTATTATGGATACGTAACTGTAGAGTCTGAAAGAAAACTAGTGGAGAAAGAATTCTTTATTCACCAATCAGTGTTTTGAGATTTATGGTGGATAGCTTTAATCCGAAATGCAGTGACGAATAATGGTGGGAATCTCTCCACACAAGACGAATTCCGAAGTTTAGGAAGCATGTCGAGCGAACACGTGTATTTAAGAGTTAAATAGAAAGGAAAACAGCGTCTGGTTGTAGATATTTTCACAGCACTCTCAGACTTTCAAGTCAACAAACAACGGTACATTTCGAAACTTCCTAGGAATGCGCAACTTTATTGCGGGTAACACAAAAGAGGCAATTTTCTCAAGTATCGGAAGCATAGACTATGTACGTGTAACAAAATGCAACATTTCTTGTTTTACTCGCCTCACTAATACCCCTTACATAGGTTTTTCAATTTGCGAATTCCTCCTTTGTATATCACTGATACTGAAATCAAAAGACAATCTTACCATGTGTCCTAAAATTATATTTTTTGTTGGTTTTCTACACGGTTGAATTTATAGTGCCGTTCTGATTTACTTTATCAATCTCTAAAGCTGCTCACAATTTCCGTCGGGAGTAGCAGTTTGAAGAGTCATTGAATAGGATCCATCACAACAACAGTGTAGTGTTGACACGAGACGGAATGTAATTTACGGATTCACATGAAAAATATTATGCAATTGACTTATGAACACAGTATGTTTGACAATTCTAAATTAAGAAAATCACAGTTCACGTCGTTAAGATGATCGTCGAAATCAACAATTTTCCGATGTACTTTCAAGTTGAGGATTTCTTCCAGCTTCCTGTCGACAGTTGGATTGAATGTATACCTAACCGTATAAAAGAAACTTTTTGGGGTTTAACTTACTTTATTTCGGTCCACTTCCAATCACACTTACAGTATGATGAAAAATAGTTGCCATCCAGTCGATGTAATGCATCGTTCCTGAACTGTTTTTATTTAACATTTTTGTCACGATAATCTAATAGTTCGACTTACAGTTAGTAAACATATATTGCCACATTTTTCTGCTATTTTCTCGCCTATTTTCATCGCAGTACTTGTTGGCCTGTTATTAAGTTTTAAAATAGTCGGAAACAAATTACGTGTTGCAATTGATATGTTCGTTCGCTTGAAAATAGCCACATATACGAAGACCTTTAAGTGCACAGTATAAGTCTACCTGTCACTGAATTATAAACTGTAAGGTTGACTCACATGATACAAGGCTGTTTCCAGCATGGGTGCCAAATTTAGAACGGTATGAAACAGAGGGATGTAGTCAGTGATTGTTATTTCAGAGTCGTGGTTGCAGTCACTTAAAAGAAGGCCGCTGACAGGACTTTCTGGATGTTTCGCAGCATGCAAAATCATTTTCAGGAAAGGAAGTTTATCAATATGCACCGTTTCCGTTGTTTTCATGTTAAGCTAAAAATAAAATTTTGACAGGCTTATAGAGATTAAATACTGTAAACAACAAATTGACTAGTAATAATAATAATAATAGAGTTGCTTGATCATCTTTGACTTGCTGGCCTCCACAAAAAACTGTGTTAGTAGCTATTTTGCAGCAATGTTTGGATTGGAAACAGGACTGCTGAATTCCTGAGATTTGTACATCAAAGTTGTTGGCCAGGCTTCACCAAACGAAGCCCAGACAATGGGAAGAAATGATTCAACCCACGCAAGTGAATGGATGCATACAGTAAGACTCAACCACCATCCACTGCAATCACCACACCGAGCTTCCTGGAAATCACGCTTGTCTTCAATGAACTTCCCTGGACCTCGGTGATGGAGATAAACAAATTGGTCGCTGAAAATGAGTTTTTAAAGTGGCATACTACCAAGCACAAAATGTGATAGTGCTCCTTCGACAAAATTCGAGTGATTTTCACATTTTCTGGGTTTTTATTGAAGTTTATTGAACCTGTTGAATGTAGAGGAGTTGAAAACAGTTAAGTTTTACACGCATCTCAGTTTTTCAATGCGAATTCTCAGCAGCCATCACCTGATCACCAGCAATAAAGCTCAAATGATCAGATTTAGCTCATATAAGCTCGTGGTAACTCGACCTATCATCCCATGGTCCATCCCAAACGGTTGAAAGCACGACTTTCCATGGATAAACTGGGAGATTCGTGAAATACTAGTGTGTGAATACAAATGTTGGATCATGTTTATCACATTTGGGGCTTCAGAGCTTGGGGAACTGTATACTTTAGCCAGAAACAAAGCTGTTCTACGTATTCGTCACCCAAGGGCGAAATCCAAAGGTATCTAGTGAAAAACGCGGAGTCACAACCCGAGGAGTTATGGTGATATGTCAATATTCGGAAAGAGATGTCTAATGTGTTTTTTAATTCGACTCCTACTTTGAAGGCCAGCGAAGGGAGCAGAAATTATTCAGAAGCAGCTGGGGACCTCTTATTTTTTAAATGCCACTGGAATAGTTAGAGTTAAGTGGAACAGATCCGATCGACGTCGGTGGCAACATTAGACTCCTATAGTGAGTGAGACTGAACAGTGATATCGCAGGACACTACGTGTTCAGCGTTCACATAATCACTTCACTGGCCGTAATTTTCGGTCTATATCCATGAAATTATTTGTGACTGCATGACTGGAAAGATAGCATACAAACCCTCGATCGTACGGTGGGAACCAATCTCTCCCATCCAAAATATAGACATATTTTTCTTACATTTACCTTTAGCAAAATATATAAAACCAGGTTAATGACAAGAACTAACGAGATGTAATGACGTGATTCTATCAGTTTCATCAAGAACATCGATTTTATACTCAAGATAGCTAAGATGGTGTATTCGCAAACCAACATTTGTTTGTCAGGATCCCATCGCAGCCTTTAAGGGAAACTTTCCATCCAGGACAATCTTTCTTACGGTGAAGAGAACCTGGGTCAATCCAGGGACAAAAAGAAGCATTTCGTAGATTCCAGCATAACATTTCTCGGAAGCTAGTCACGCCCTTTGGTAACAGAGAAGATCTTTTTTTGTTTGGTAGATACAACATTTTTGTTGTTTGGTCATCGACCATGCTAGACCTGCGCTTCTTTTACAGTAACTACTGTCCATATATCCTAGCCGATCTGACTTGGCGGCCATGTTTCTGTCATCACCCCCCTTAATACGTAAGGAAGGAAATCAAAAAGTATGACTGATTAAGCATGCCTGCGATGGCACAGCCGTTAGGACGCTCGCCGAACATGTACATGGTCCGGAGTTCGATCTCCTGCAGACACAAATCTGATATTAGCCGTCAGCCTGGTAAATTTGGGCTACCGATATCACATGTTGAAAATTCCATAGTTTTACCAAAATACTGTGTGGAATCAAGCTATAGAAAAAAATAAAAGAAGATATGGGGAAAAGTAGTCACACTACAACTCAGTAACCCGGCTTCTGCACTTTGGAAACGCAAGCGTTTGAATGATGTTTTATTCGGCAGAGATAAAGTAACAAGTCGTTTAGTGTGAAGTGATTGAGGTTCAGTTGAGCTGGCGAGTTTCCTTGACCCCACATACTTTCAATAATGCGCTTCACACAAAACCGATTATTAAAAAAGAAATTCTTGTAAGCAGTGACGGATTGCCTAACTGGAGAAGTGAATTCTCCATAAACAGGGAACAGACAGTCAAGGCTAACTCAGAAATCTCCTGCTGAGCAACAAGACAGAGAGCACTGTTTTGAATCTCACGTCCTTATCATTTTCTAGGCAGAGAGAGATCGTCACTATGTTCGAAGCTGTTAAGAGTGAAATTATTTTCATACATCAGCCTCGGGAATCAGATATCCAGAACGTCCCTTCCCTGATCAACTGAAACCGTTTTCATGAGTGAAACACCACGTTTTGTACACTGTATGAGATTTGGCTGTTTAATATTGTGGTAGTCGCACTTTAGGGAAATGTACTTATGCTATGTCTACACAGAACTCAGACGAAGAAACGTTCAGATGTTAAGTTAGATTAAGGGAAATACCACCTTCCTAAACTCTAATGTGTACTGCACACCGTTAACGAAATCGTGAAAATCGGTATTGACAGATCTTGATTGGCTGTTGGCCTCCTTTTGGTCAAAGCGGAAAGTTTTTTATTTTCACATGGGTAATTACCGGCAGAATAGGCAGTAGAATTAAAGATTTATCATATTATAATGGTGTGTAAATTTTTTTTGGTATGGGTGTAGTGTGACGACTCATATGTTTTCAACATAGAACTTTGCACTGAGGTGCTGCAGTTCAAGTAGCCACAGTCCATGTAGCAGACAAAGACAGAGAAGAAAGTAAAACAAACGCAAAGTAGAGACAACAAAGAGAGATATGAGGTAAAAAGAATAGTAATATCGACGAACAATATAGTTTTATTGGGTTTAGAGCGATCAGTCACATACTATTTGGATGGATTAGTGGTTTTGAAAGTACATTGAGGTGAATAGAATTCAACAACAATTTTGATGCATTTATTTTAAGTTCCAAAGTAGGATATATACATTTTCGCTTACTAGGCGAAAATAATTCAACTGCGATTTACTAGAGGTACGGATAAGACTTGAGTTCTGAGGTAGAGTATAATGCCATTAAAGATAAAATTTTATTTCGGTCATATGATTATGAACAATAAATTGTGCTCTAAACGTCATCAGTAAATATTACTGTATAACACTGTGTGGCTTTGTCAAAATAAAATTTTATCTATAATGAAATTGCCGTCTACTAGGTTACGACAGTGGTATATGAGCACTTAAGTATATACTATTATTCATCTGCTTAGAATTATTAGGTTGCGCTCGTTAAGCATCGGTAATGCCATTAGATGATTTTACAAAACACTCCTGTCTCTACTTCACAATATGTTGTCCGCTGAAACGGGTATATTCCAATGAATAATGCTTTTATGTATATTTTATACGCGGGTGCAATTTAAGTAAACTTTTGATGATGATGGATGCTTTATAAATATTACAATCACGATGTAAGTCTCAAGATAATTTACTATTCAACCTAGGTACATACTTCTCTGTAGACTATATTACGGCTATGCACACCTTTTGCTGCTAACAAAGTTGTTTTAAACTTGCAAAGGCGTTTTTTCTACTTGCATTCAATATCATTCACCTCAGGCAATTACACAAAAGGTAGTCACACCTTCGTAAACAGGTATAAGGCTAATGCACATGTTGGACATACTGTGCATTAAGTTTGCCATGTGCGCGTATCGTTGCGGCTTTTTTGGATTCATGTATATACTGTGGTATGCTGTTACTCTTAGATATTGTGACAAATAGCGAAAGGTGGATAATTCAGTATAACACCACGGACAACATTCCGCGTGCCTGCCTCTTAACAACGCTACCAAACAGCGTGTTTTGGAATGCTTATTAACGACTAAGATGTCGCCTCGTCAGCTTGAATCAACGAAATCCTGATGCTATACTGAGGGAAATAATAGAGTTCACCAGAAGGCTGACAGTTTGCTATTTAATGAACCGCAAACGTTACGAATACGACGTGCCCCTATGAATCGCTTATTTTTATTAAAATATTAGTATTACCACATTGTTTTCGTTTTTATTCACAATATAAACATGTACGTCTAAAGTGGTGTTACAATTACTTTCCCTTTACATGCCTAAGAGTGACAGCTTACAATAGACTTTGGTTGATTGTTTTGTGATGACAACACTTTGGAAGTCAGTTAGAAATTACACCGATCTGTGCCTTACTTACTTAGTTTTATCAGCCGAAGATCACTGGTTCATACCACATCCTGAGTAATGTTGACTAATGGGATCCATCACATACCGTAGCAATCCTTAAAGGCCCAACCTCACAAAAATCCGAAACCAACTCTAACCTACGCGTCAATAATGCCTCTTTGTAGTAAATGAATATTTTATCTACCTAACATGAAACCAGTATGTACTAAAATAACTCGGTTGTTCTTATAAAGGAGAAATGAACGCTGAGTCTGGCCCAAGAGGCCTCACATAAGGCTGATAAGCTACCTCTGAAGATGTGTAGAATCAGAACATGGTGCTAAATTAGTGCTAGTCATGCTGATAAACCAGCACACAGTTCCAGCTTGTGCAAATAACCAAACAATCTCAGAGTTTACTCACTACAGAATGTTAGAATTAGTTCAGAACTAGCAAGATTTAATTCAGCAATTAATTTTCATTTTATACTATGAACAGTTTGCTATCTCAGCACAGTATGTGCGAATTAGCTCAGACATTGCGGGTTTACAATAATTCTATGCTGTCAACTAAATATGTGTGAACTTCAGACAAAAAATAAGCTTTATAGTAGCAACCAGTGACAGAAATTGACCTCGACACGTTAAAATATGCAAAACGTCAGGAAAAAACCTTTTAATCTCAATGGCAAACGAATTCACGGAAGCATATAACCAGTAGACACAGGAACTCATCATGACCTTAAACCTAGACTTACTGTCTTTCCAAAATTGTGACGTACAAACTGTAACGTAATGTTGGAAATTACCACAATTGATAACATACGTTTCAGTTTCTCAATACTCCCTAAAATGACGTGCGAAAATCGTCGTTAAAATATGTATGCAGCAGTCAATAATATGTTATCCTTTGAGAGAAAAACTGATATAAAACATTTGATTGGCATAAATCCATAAATATGGGCAAATTTTGGAAATGTTCCGAAATTTATCTTTCAGTAGGAAACAAAGATTCTGAAATGCAATTCACAAATCGAAGACATCCACTTGATTTCCTTTAAAATCTCAGTACTTTTTACGTCACACGTTTCATGTATGAGATCTTCAGGACGATTGATAAACGTAGTAAATTTTTAAATAATACTTTGAGAAAGCTATTAGCATAAAATAGCGAAACGTTAATAAAAAAATAATATCGTTTTGTTTTTCATTCATTGGGAAATACAAAAACCTCTATTATAATGAGTAGTAAATTTTTACCCACTCTCTCTTAGTTATACATACTGGTATTTGAAAGCATACCTAGCATGTAAAAAGGGATCACGTAGCTAGTGAAACTGGGGCACTTCTAGGATCAGTGAAGTTTCTAATTCTGACCATGGAATCACTAGGGAGGCAAGATGCATGATATGTTTTCAAAAATGAATGTTATAGTGGGGTAGAGATAGGAAATGAACACATCATGTTTTAGGCTATCCAAAGTGAAGAGGAAATGTGATATAGCTCAGATGTATTAGATATCTATCTAAGTTCATGAACAGGAAGTGAAGCAGACAGCTTGCTGTCACGCGAGTCAGCAAAATGGTCCAGGCATACCGATAACTTGCACTGCAAAGAAACATAATGCTTGGTCAGAACAAATCTAATTCACCTGGTGTAAACTTGTGACTGAAGTAAGCGGATAAAAATGAATTAACTTGGTAGTCACACACAGACTATAGTTTTTATAGTCTTTGAATGAATAAATGAACATTCATCTAGCTGTGGGTATTCCTTTTTGTTGTGCTTTTCCCTTAAACTGGCAGCACGCGCATACTCAGAGTATGTGGTCCATCTGTGCTAGACAGGTAAGTCCTAAATTCCTTTCCCTTAATAACCTCAACATTATATTCTGTTTAAATATACTATCCATCAGAAAGCATTTCTTGTTGGTTATCTTTGTTATTCGCTTGTTTTCGCTATCTGTATTTGCTTGTCACGTGGTACACCGATTGTGTAGGTAATTAGGCTAGTATAGTGCAACGTATCAGCAGCAAACACCAGTACCTTGCACTGATATCATTTTCACCCATCACTTCAACGGCTTACTTGCGTATGGTCCAACTGCCACCTACGGACACTTATTACATCTCAACTCATTCTGTCTTTGCCCAATTACACGGTGTGTGATGCCACGTGGAGGTATTTTCAGAGTCTTTCTCCATATAACCTGAGTGGTACGTCCAATGTCCGGGGTGTTTATGGCCTGTAATTGCAAACCTTCCGCATAACCTTCAGTCTCGAACGTAGGCTGCTAATGGGAACCTGAGGCCTGGTAGAAACGTTTTCGGGGAAGATAAATAACTGATCAGCCATGCTTTACTACTGTCTTCACTTCAGATGTCTCGAAGAGCTTTTATTTGTGAATTGCTTGACATACTTCGTTAACATAATCGGTCTGCAGAATAATGTTCGCACATGTAAATGGGATGGCACACCCTAACGTTGAGACAGCTGCCAAATCACTCGACGACCCATCCTGTACGAGGCCTTTTCTGAGCCTACAAGTGTGAGTGGGAGAACTGATAATCATTCTGGATCCCGTTCTATGATGACGCCCAGTGTTACATTTTGACACCCGCATGAATTGTTTCCTAGATCCAATTTGTCCTGAACATATTTGTTTATCCATGGTGCCTTTCAGCCTTTTCACGGCTATGTGGCTTGAAATTTGGTTTGTAGTGGACGGAAGCACCACTCTGCGTCAATTATTGTAACGGTTTAATCATCTCATCCCTAAGAGTTAGGAAAGTAACTTTTCTTTCAGTTGGCATTCACTTATTCCTTTCACGCTTTTCGCAGTACCAATGCAGATTGTGATTTGGTTTACAATACTTGTGAGGTATCCCACAGGGTTTTGCTGCCATCACAGATTTCAGCAATTTTATGGCCTTCACTGCACTGCTGTAAGTCCTACAGTTCTTCAAGAGTAGTTCGTCAAGGCAGAATCCACAACATTTGATGTAGTGGTTGTACATATGTTTGTGTTAAATAGTTGTGTGAGTTCCAATTATCGTAATTGTTGGTTAATCTTGTTTGTGTCCGGACATTCCACAACTTACAATCGTCAACCTTAGAAGGGTTGTAGGCGTACTGGTGTAAGTCCTGCAATTCTTCAAAAGAAATCCACCAAGACAGGATCCGCGAGGTTATTTGTACTGTTTGTATATACGTGTGGTGTGCCATATCAATTGGTGGTGTCTTGGATTCATTGTGTTTACTCGTTGTTTTCGTATCTTGATGTTATTGCATAATTTTGTTAAAATTTTCGTCGTGATTACTTCTGAAATTGTTTCTTGTCTTCTACATCCGTGAATGAATTGATTGATGTTAGAGACAGCAGATGGGTCGTATACGCCGAAGAGGCTGGGCTAGCGCTGAGAATGAACTGCATACGGAGATAATTGTTAGGTGCGGTCCCACACGCCGGGGATCAATAGTGTAAACGACTGAGGCTAGCATACGTCACCGTTACTAGAAGTGAGGCAGAATGAGTGACAAGCGATTGCAGTGGTAATTGGTAGTGAGTAGATAAGAGGACGTGCGTAGAGTATCATGAGGTGGTGCTATGGTCACGTTGCATTCTTCAAGAGTCATTCTGGAAAGTGGCGATTGTGTTGCATTGGGATACCTTTAACTGGAAGGCACAGGCCAGCATTGATATGTGAGATTGTGCTGTGAGTATGCTTGTGGTGTGTTGGCTTTTCTGTTTGTTTTCCATTTCAGCTCTGTCCATGTGACCCAGGTTCTCGCAATGGCATCCAAGTCAACGTGTATTGGTCGTGAAGAAAAAAAGGGATGGATACCTTTATCTGGCGGGGAGTGTCAATGCAGTTGAAGATTGAACGATCAATTCACGGTTGTTTGCTCAAAACCAACTTCCCCAATTTTCGTGGAGGCATCAATACACCAGTCATCGTCTCATCGGTCGCTGTTCAGAAAGAAGTCAGGAGAAAACCTTGAGAAATACTATTGTGATTTATTATTGTAATATTTGTTCACAGACCTTATTGGAAACATTTTTTATATGTTGGTGTTACAATAAAGAATCCTCGAGTGGCCAATCGGTGTTTTGGTTTCTGCGTCCGTTATTACGAAGCGTTTCTGAAAAACTGCAAGTAACAGCGTGAGCCCGAGCGTAGCAAGAGCTGGGCATTAACGGTTTACGAGACGTGGCTGACAGGTATATTTAGAAAAAGCGAGAAGAAGACGTAATTTTTCTGAATCTTTTAATATATTTGTGCAACACATTTCGAAAATTCTGATCACGCAAGTCTTGCCATAGTATTATATATAAAATTAATAAAGAATTGAGAGATGAGAAAATAAATTTTGGCCAAGTTAAAAGGACATATTGTAGGTCAAAATAATAATGAATTGAACTAAACCAAATAACAGAGGTAATAGCACATCTACGCCAACGGGTATCAAAAGATGGTCTACCAAAGAAGGTTTAGTGTGATGACGAATTGTTTTAGAACTCGAAAATGTGGTTTAAATTCCCTGATTGCCAGCTAGGGGTTCTACAATCTCTAGGATACGCACCAATCACGCTTAACAGATAGACTTAAAGTATCTGTAAACTTCTAACAAACAGCGAACGATGGAATGATGACTGTAGTATCGATGACTTCCGCCAAAATATGGGGTCGGTTTTGCGTAAACAACCACGAATTGATCATTCATTTTTCAGCTTTATTAACATGCGGATTAAAAATTGTGTATTGTGATGTTTCATGGAAGATCTTCCTGACGATATTTTCAAAGGTTACTAAATATTTCATGATGGTGTTCACGTCAGGGCTTTCTATAGCACCCTGATTTTCCAACTCAGCCCAACCAATTAATAGTCACTTTTTTAGCAGTTCGGCTTTCAACACAGGAATGTGCGCGAAATTGACCTTTGAACTTCCATTACCCAAAGACGCTGATTGAGGATGTTGTCGCGGTAATAATGTCCCCCATTCTAAATTTAGAGCGAAAAGTGCCCCTGACGAGATCTCTTTCTTTCTGTGAGCAGTACCACTTCAGGTTTACAATGCCTTACCAGATTTAAGATATAAGCCAGCAGCAATAGGAGCGAGATACTGACGAAAGAATAAAAAAGAACAGAACGTTGCAAATTATTCATAATTTATCGGGTATCCTTTCTATATCCAAAAATATTGAATCATGAATCCCTTATGATTTTTCATAAGTTCTTTACGCTCCGCTAACCTTCAGGTAGCAGTGCCATATTATTCACTGTCGATGAATAATAAAGCTGAGGATTGCATCTAGCTCTCTGTTGACAGTTGGATTGAATGTATACCTAACCGTATAAAAGAAACTTTTTGGGGTTTAACTTACTTTATTTCGGTCCACTTCCAATCACACTTACAGTATGATGAAAAATAGTTGCCATCCAGTCGATGTAATGCATCGTTCCTGAACTGTTTTTATTTAACATTTTTGTCACGATAATCTAATAGTTCGACTTACAGTTAGTAAACATATATTGCCACATTTTTCTGCTATTTTCTCGCCTATTTTCATCGCAGTACTTGTTGGCCTGTTATTAAGTTTTAAAATAGTCGGAAACAAATTACGTGTTGCAATTGATATGTTCGTTCGCTTGAAAATAGCCACATATACGAAGACCTTTAAGTGCACAGTATAAGTCTACCTGTCACTGAATTATAAACTGTAAGGTTGACTCACATGATACAAGGCTGTTTCCAGCATGGGTGCCAAATTTAGAACGGTATGAAACAGAGGGATGTAGTCAGTGATTGTTATTTCAGAG